TGTTCAATGGGCCCCTTCGGCTCCAGAAAAAGTGCCTGGTGACTCGGGGTCGACCTGCCCTCCTTGCAGAGGCCCTGACACCTCTCCTTGCTCTCTGGTCTTGTGTGGGACACTGGCCATTCAGTCCATCTGTGCCACCTGGTTGGGGGGAGCCCCTACCTGTCCTGGGACCTCTACAAGGTCGTGTCTCCAGTGGACTTGACTGTGAGGAGTGGGCTGCCCCCTGGTAAACAGCTCCAGCAGGCGAAGCCCCCTGGCTGTCCAGCCACCCTCCCTCAAGTTAGATCCCGCGTGCCCATCTTGTGCCACAAGGGAGCCTGTGGCCTGCCCTTGGGTGCTCACGTCCCATGGCGGTCTTGGGCCTCTGCCCCCTTTGGAGTTCTCGGGTGAGGTCTTGGGTGGGGCCTTGGGTGGGGCCTTGGGTGGGGCCTTAGGTGGGGTCTTGGTTGAGGTTTTGGGTGGGGTCTTGGGTGGGGTCTCGGGTGAGGTCTTGGGTGGGGCCTTGGGTGGGGCCTTGGGTGGGGCCTTAGGTGGGGTCTTGGTTGAGGTCTTGGGTGGGGCCTTGGGTGGGGCCTTGGGTGGGGCCTTAGGTGGGGTCTTGGTTGAGGTTTTGGGTGGGGTCTTGGGTGGGGTCTTGGGTGAGGTCTTGGTTGAGGTCTTGGGTGGGGTCTTGGGTGAGGTCTTGGGTGGGGTCTTGGATGGGGTCTTGGATGGGGTCTTGGGTGGGATCTTGGGTGAGGTCTTGGGTGAGGTCTGCAGAACATGGTGCTGGCTTCCAGGTTCTGAATCTTGTGCTTCTTTTTTGTCGTTACCAAGATGGTGGACACATTCCACCTGTCCATCTCCCGGACTTCAGCTACATACTGGATACGACTGTGGTCCCACCCTGGTCGTCACTGTGACGGTCACCCAGGGCAGACACTTCCGCTGCCCCTGCATACTGGTGCCTGTCCTCAGTGTGCACCCTGTTGGAGCCCTGCTGTGCGCAGAGCCTAGACCTGAGCCTGGCACCTCATGGTCTCCTGTAAATATGTGTTGCCTTGAGTCTTTGTGGAGATCATTGCCGTGCCAGGGGGGACCCCAGGGCTGTGGCCTCGGCACCCCCAGGAGCTTGTTACAACTGCAGATTCTGGGCCCTGCACAGTCCCAGGCCCATCACTGAGGACTTCGGGGGCTGGACAGGGACCTGGGAGTCAGCCCCCAGGGACTCTGCCCACCTGAGGAGTCCTGTCAGTGCATGAAGGATGCAAACGAGGCTGGAGTCCCTGCAGCTCCGAGCCACCAGCAGGTGTCACCCTGACACAGGTTGGCAGGTCTGCATCCTGACTTTGCAAAGCTGGTGGAGACCTGCAGGACCACCCTTGACTGGGGACAGCAGATGAGCAGAGCTGACCCACCTCTGGGTGGTCAGCCCATTGGGAGGAGGAGGAAGAGGAAGAGGGGGACAGGCCACGAGCGGTGTGTGTTTGAACCTTTAGGAAGGACTGGGCTGTGCAAGCCTATCTCTACATGAATGTCATCAGGAAGCCATTCAGTGGCACGAGCAATGACGTGAGGTTGGCAGTGGCTCTGGCTTAGGGAGCTCGGGACAGCTGATGTGGGTCCAGGGGCTCGAGGAGACTCTTCAGGTTTGGGGGCCCGGGCTGTCCCCGACAGGCCAGCCATGCCCGCCTTCTAGACGTGACCCTGGTTTGTCAGATGAACCAGTTCAAGCCGTTTCCTGTGGGCATGGGCCTTGTGCAGCAAGTGGACGGGGTCCAATCCGCGTTCGGAACCGCTTTCCCAGCACGGACAGCTGGGGGAGGCCTGGGGCAGGACACAGGGCAGGAGAGGAGAGCATATGCAGAAGCCAGCTGAGAGGTGCGGTGGCCGCTGGAGCAGGGGACCTGGCCATGGGCATTTGCCCTGCTCCAAGGGCTGGCCAAGGTCACAAGAACTCAGGGGACAGACCTGCAGGCTCAGCCACTCTGCCGCCCAGTGTTCCTGCAGCTTGGAATCCCTCTGGAACCAGCAGGGAAGGGCTGCTTGTCTCAACCCTCGCTCCACTCTCTAGCAGAGGTCCCCAGACAACATGGACACTGGGGAGGACCCACGCCAGGGGGACTTCATGCCCAGCCCTGGCCCTGCAGCCGGGCCCACCCATGCCTCCCCAGGGAAGGTGCTGGGCCTTGGCAGTGTGGGGAAGGGGCCGGCCCAGGAAGGAAGGCTGAGCTCCAGAGCCACCTGCCAACTGCTCCTGGCCAACCCAGGGCCAGGCCTGAGTCACTCACGGCCCAGCCGCCTGCAGCCCACGTGACATCTGAAGCGAGGCCCCCTTCACCATGTGCAGGGGAGCAGGAGCGTTGAAGACACCACCCTGCCTTTGAGCTGTGGCTTTGCTGCTAAGAGCTGGTGACCCTGGCCTGTGCTCCCGGAGAGCAGCTTTCCTGTCTTCGAGGTGGGGAGGCCCCGATGGAGCTGTGGAGTGCCCAGCGCAGAGTGGCCCCTTGGGAGGCTCCCTACCTGGGGTCCCTTTCCTTCTCCCTCCCTGTGAGGGAGCAGCTCACAGAGTGGCCTGGCCGTCCACCCCAGAGCGGCCAAGTGGCTGGGCTCCTCAGGGCCCTGGACGCTGTGGTGATGGGAAGCCTCCCCACGCCGCGGCTCAGGCTGTCTGTTGCTTGGTGCTGCGTGGGCCAGGGCCAGTGGGGAGTGGCTCTTCCCTCCTGTGCTCATGATGCTGAACGCGTCCAGTGGAGCAGGGGGCCTCAGAGGCCATGAGGAATGGGTGGAAAGAGGAGGCTCTTGGGGACCCAGCCTGCCTCCGACTCTGGGGCAGCTGGGGCAGGATCCGAGCCTTCCGAGTTCCCCCTGCACAAGTGAGGCCCAGAGACGTGACCTCCAAGACCTCACTCAGTGTCCCCCGAGATTCAGGAGCAAGACCCCCAATCCAGGAGACAGCGGGCTGCACTGGACAGGGAGGACTGTGGTGTCAGCAGGGCTGGACAGGAGGGCTGAGGTGGCGGCAGGCCTGGAGGGGAGGGCTGAGGTTGGGGTGAGCGCCACCTTATGTCAGGCCCTGTGTTCAATACAGCCCTGCCCAGGGTCAGTGGGGTGGAGCAGCACCTGCCCTCTAGGGGGCCCTCGACCTCCTCCCTTGGGGATTCCTTACCATTAAGAAGCCAAGCCCCATGGGCCAGGTGGCCAAGGCCACAGGCTTCAGAGCAGACTGGACCTCCTGGAAGCCCAAACCATGGCCATCTGAAGCACTGGATGGAGGGACAGAGGGATGGAGGGGCCCACATGATCGAGGTCCTCTTGGCAGGAAAACAGGACCTGGAGTGGGGCCAAGGCCAGGAAGGGTCAATGACACGGGGCCATCCTGCAAATTGGAAAACAAGGCCCTTGGACACTCTGTGCCGCCACTTACCTGGAAATGGTCCTCAGCCACCCAGAGCCACAGTGGCTGCAATGTCAATGTGCGACACAAACTGCAGGGCCCCATGTGCTCCTGGTGCTCCTCCCCATCACCTCTGCAGCCCGGGGGAACAGCAGGAGGCCAGAGGAGGAGGGCCAGGACCCAAGAGGAAGGGCCAGGGCCAGCTGTGTCCCTCAGCAGGACAGCTGGAGCCCTCCCATGCCAGGCCGCTCTCTGGCCTGCAGCTGGGACTCGGCACAGAGGCCGGCTTCCATGAACTTCCCGGGGGGCTGCTGGCTGCCGCTCTGGGGTGGACGGCCAGGCCCAGGCCCAGATGGCGCTCTGCCTCCCACAGCTGGGACGGGAAGAACTGCAGGCCTCCGCGCGGCACGGCAGTGCTTGAGCCAGGAGGGACCAAGGAACGTGGGAAAGCCACGTGGCCTCGGACTAAGCTGTGTCCTCACAGGTGAAGGGGGCAAGGGGTCCACCTGCAGTGTTGCAGAGAAAGGGGACACAGTGACCAGCACCATGGGGACCCACGGCTCTCACTGTTAAGAGGCCCAGCCCATGGGCACTGTGATTCCAAGGCAATGCCGGCCTCTCCCAACCATCGGGCACCCAGTTCTGAAGCCCGCAGGTCACCCTGCCTGCTGACCCCCTCCCTCTGTCGGAACTGGGCTGCCCACTCCTACCTGGGCCAGAGCCTGAAGTGACGCTTGCCAAGGGCCCTGCCAGGTCTGACCACATCCAGCCCAGGAGGGGCTCAACGTCCCCAAGACCCAGACACTCAGGACATGTGGGCAGATGGGCCTTTGTGCCCTTGACCAAGCTCCTCCCACGGCCATCGGTCAACTGCAGCTAAGAGCCACAAGGCCCGTGTGCTTCTGCCCAGCTAAGTGCCACCAGGGACCTGGCAAGCGATCATTCAGGGGGCACCATCTGTCCCTCTGTGTCCACAGGGAAGCTTTGAAGCAGCCAGTGAAGCAGGACTGTCCAGCTGCCCCCTCTCAGGAGGCAGCCTCCACATCAGCCAGTAATATGCTGGCACCTGGGGACGCTTCTGCAGGGGTGGCGGCCCGCCGCCTGATTCTTGTTTTAAAAGCAAAATGTTTTGATTTTTTGGATAAGGCTGCTCCCCTCCAGCTCCCCGGCCCTCCCACCCTGCCCACCACTGAGCTGCCTCAGGCCACACCTGGCCATGAGGGTCTCAGCCAGGGCGCTGCAGTCCTGGGCCCCAGGAGAGGCCGCAGGCTTTGCACAGCCTGCAGCGGGAAGGGCTTAGTGAGAGCAGCCCAGGCGCCCCTGCCCAGGCCGGCCACACAGCTCAACGGTGGGAGCAGCTGGTCCCTGGTGGAGGGGACCCCTCCAGGATCGGGGGCCAAACCCACCCACAGGGGCAGGTGTTTTCTTGCCTACTCCAAATCCACCTCAGGCCAAGCTGAGCACAGTCCTGGGACCCGGGGCCTGGGCACTCCTCCTGCACCCCAGTCCTCGTCCTCTGCAGGGGCTGCAGTCAGGGTCTCAGGCCACTGCCCCAGGGGCCTCACCCTTTGCTCCATGACCCTCTTCTTTCCCAAACTGATGTAAAAACACCTGTGGTCTTCAGGGCGCCAGAGCACCAGGTGTGCTGGGATGAAGCTCGCAGCCCCGTGGCGGCTCACGACCACCTGTGGGGCGGCTTCCCTGGTGGCCACTGGCCACTCCTGACTCGCTCAGCCCCCGCTGCAGAGGGCCTCAGGACAGCGAGCAGGGAGCAGGGCAGGAGGTGCTGTGCCTCCCAGAAGGAGAAGCAGGCAGAGCCAGGTAAGTGGTGTTTATTGAGCCCCTGCTGTATGTGCACCATGCACAACTCAGGGGCTGGGGTTTCACTTAGATTCCAGGAGACAGAGCCTCCCCTGGGGGCTCACCTCCCCCAGTAGGAGACACTGACCGTCACTTTAGGGGTGGCATTGAGGAGCTGAGTTTGGGTGGCCCGGCGAGTCAAGGGGAGGGGGCAACCGCCCACTGCAGCCCCCCAGGAGCCTGCTTGGCATCCCGAAGCATGGCGCACGGACTCAGGGTGGGGTCCTGGGGACACCTGGTCACGTCTGGGCCCTGGAAGGCCCAGGCAGGGGTGGGGCAGCACCTCCCTGCTCGGCTCCCTCTAGGCAGCCCCTGCGCGGCGCCGGCTCCCCCTGGTGGCAGCTTGCCACACGGCCTTGTTTCCCTGGGTCAAGGCAAGGTCTCTGGGGTGCCCGCCAGCCCCGCTGGTGACCTTCAGGTTTCCGACACCCTTCTCCCTGGCTGTGGGCATCGGGTTCCCTCCAGTGCGCTGTGTGGTGGACGGCTTGTTCCCAGGGTGCAGCGAGATGTGGCCAGCGTCCCTTGTCCCGAGAGAATCCCAGGCAGGGGAGGACAGCCCTGGAGCCCTGGATGGCTCAGAGCACCTTTGCCCCTGCCCCAGCCATTCTTTGGTTTTTGAGACAGGGCCTCCCTAAGTCACCCAGGCTGGCCTTGAACCTTGGTCCTCCTGCCTCAGCCTGCAGAGTGGCTGCAGTGACCCCGGTGGGCCCGGCGCCCACTGGGTTCAGTTTTCCTACTTGTGAAGTGAAGTTTGTGCCACCTGAACACTGACGGCATTCCATGAGGCTTGGCGCCAGGCTGCGGTATGAACCCGACCTGCATTCTCTCTGTTAACCCGTGGGAGTGTTATCTTGGTGTCTCGTCCACTGTAACGGATTTATCCCCACTTTACAGATGAGGAAGTGGGGCCCAGACTGGGTGGACAACTTGCCCAGGACGGCACAGCTGCAGACCCAGGCGGAGCGAGGGACAGACTGGTTTCAAGCACGAAGCCTCCTCTCCCCCGCCGTCTCGTGACGGCCCACGACTCTGAGCTTGCTCAGACGGCTCCACCGAGGCCACTCTAGAGACTTCTCCGGAAAGTACCACGTCATGTCGAAGCTCAGTCACCTGGTCACCCCCCTCAGGCCCTGGGAGTGGGGACTGTCCAAGGCCAGAGAACAGGAGGGCCTCCTGGTCACCCCTGGGGCTGTAGTGAGGCTCTGGTTCCAGGACTCAGGGGCCACATGCCCTGGGCACCGCAGGTGTGTGCAGAGGGTCCACGCCAGTGAGGAGGTGGGCAGCCTGGACCAGCTCCTGGAACTGCCCCGGAGGCCACCCTGGCTGCAGGAGGCCAGTGGCTGAGCACAGCCTCTTCCAACCTCTCTGAAGGGACAGAGGAGAGCTGGGCGTCAGGGACACGACCCTGCCCAGGGCCGTCCCCATTGCTATCCCTTAATGCCGAGGGGAGCAGGTGGCCAGGAGTGCACGCCTTGCTTCACGGTGCAGGTTTCAGGGCTGGAACGGCCCCAGCTGCTGGCCTGGGGTCCTGGGTCTCTGTCATGGTGGTGTCTCTTCCCTGTCCCAGGTCCCCACAGGACCCTCAAGTCGGCCCTTCGTCTTCTAGCCACCTGGAGAGCCCAGCCTCCCTGGCTGCCTCTCCTAGAGAATGGGGTGCAGGCTGTGGGTGCGGCCCACTGTGTCCTGGGCGTGACGTGGGGGTCTTCCCCACCAGGCCTCAGAGGCCCGGTTAGCCTGGGACTCCTGGCGGAGGAGAGGACAGGCTGGGGCTCTAAGTGGGCGAGGTGGTCAGCCAGGCCTGGGATGGGCTATCTCCCCGGGTGGGCCATGGAGCCACAGAACAGGACGCAGGCTGGCTGGCGGGCTGGAGGCAGAGTGGTGGGGAGTCCCCTGGGAGGCCAGGAGGAGTGAAGTGCTCACAGAGAGTCCGGCCACAAGGAGGGAGGGCAGGGACAGGGAGGGCCCACGGGCCACGTGCTCATTTCCACTTCTTAGCAGAGCTCTGATCCCCTTTCCCGACTGGATTCCCTGCTGCAGGGAGCACGGAGCCAGCCATTGTCAGGGCCTGGTGCAGAAAGCTGCAGCGGGCCACACCTGTCTCCCGAGGGCTGGTACTTCCCGGGTCAGCTGGCCACGGTAGTCCTGGACAGCCCGGCCTCTGGGCAGTTATGGACGCCCTTGGTAGCCTGTGAAGGGCCTTTCTGACACAGAGGGGCAGGTGTGGACCTTGGGAGCTCTATGTCCTGGTCTGGGGACAGACGGCCAGCCAGTTAGCTTCAGCCCCCTGGGATGGCATCTCTGGGCCTCTCTTGGGCCGGTGGGCCCCAGCCCTGAGCTCCAGGCACTCTGCCTCTTCCCACCTCCAGCTCCTGAAGAGGCCACCCTGGGCAGGCCTCTGGCGTTCCCTGGTTTCAGTGCCCAGGTGCCCGTGGTGCTGCAGAGAGCCCCTGCTCCCATTCCCAGCTCCCGTGCCACCCGTGGAGGGCAGCAGTGGGTCGGGCCTCAGGGGTCCCAGGCCTGGTTTTGGGTGGCTGCCTCTGCAGGAGGCCACCTGTCTCTCCCACGAGGCGAGGCCTGAGTCCTGAGCCGGGAGGACGCCCCGCTGAGCAGGGGGTGAGCGGGGCCTGGTGCCGAGACAGCCACCGTGGTCGGTGGACACCGCTTGTCCCAGAATGGAGAGGAAGCAGGCCATTCCCTGAGTCCTGAAAAAGGGCAGGCACCTGTCCCCTCTGAGTCTGCAGTGTCACCAGCCCAGGGGAGAAGCTTCCAGGAAGCAGGAAGGTGACAGTCAGCCTGAGAACAGATTGAGGTGTGACGGGTGACAGCCAGAGATGGCCCAGGAGGTGGGTCAAGACGCCCTGGTCAGCCACGTCCACAGACACCACGGCTGGAATAAGACACCGTGGTCAGTGACCCTCCCCACAGAGAGAAGGGAAGGATGGCTGAGGGTGACATGGACGAGAGCAGCACCGTGAGCTTCCTCCCAGAAAGGACAGCAGGAGTCCCGCTGAACCGAGCTTCAGCCCGGGGGGCCTCCGTGTGACCAGAGGTCCAGAGGTGGCCTCTCGTATTGGTTAGCTCTTGCTGCGTAACAAACCCTCCCCACACTGGACTCGAACAGCCGGTTCTGATATTGCTCCTGAGCTTGTGAGCGGACGGGGCAGTTTGCCACTGGCCAGCTGCCCAGTAGGGACCAGTGGATGAGCTGGGCCTCTTCTTTCCCAAACTGATGTAGGATGAGCTGGGCCTCATGGTGGCTGTTGGTGTTGGTGGCCGGTTGGTCCTGGAGCTCAGAGGGGCACGGGGGTGAGTAAGCTGTGCGTGTCTCACCCTCCAGCAGGCCGGCCCAAGAGCACCAGGCAGGCCCGGCCCTGCTCGCGGGTGTGCTCCAGCCTCTGCATTTGCTACCAGCCTTGGCCAAAGCAAGCACATGGCTCAGGGTCTAGGGGAGTGGAAAAGCAGACTCAGTCCCTTGAGTGGGAGGACTCTAGATCCATGATGCAGCGATGGGAAGAGTGGCAGCCATTTCCGAGACCTGCCACATGGGCTTCAGGCTGGGTTGGACCCAGGAGCTGCTCCCCTCTTGACTCTGCTTCTTTCTTTGTCAGATCCACTTGCAGCCAAGGCAGAGTGAGCGGTCACCAGGGACTCTGGCCTCCTTCAGGTCCAGTGGGATGAAATTCCCTCTCTTCCCCATGGTTCTGAAGGAAGCCCCCAGATCGCCCCTCCTTGACTGGTTGGACAGTGTGCCCATCTCTGGGCAGACTCTGCCCTGGAGGCTCGTGATGCCGTAATGGCCTCCTCAGGGCACAGAGGGGGGAGTGGGCTCCACACGCCTCGTGGACAGAGCAGGAGCAGGAGCGGTGGCCTTGGAAGCCAGGTGCCACACAGGAAGCTGAGGACGCTGGGTAGACAGGGAACCCGGCCGGCAGGCCAGGGCCTTCTGTTTACGCCCTCTTTTTTTTTTTTTTTGTACTGGGAATCGAACCCAGAGGTGCTTAACCCCCGGGCCACACGCCAGCCCTTTCTTATATTTTACTTAGAGACAGGGTCTCGCTGAGTTGCTCAGGGCCTTGCTGAGTTGCTGAGGCTGGCTTTGAACTTGCGATCCTCCTACTTCAGCCTCCTGAGCTGCTGGGATCACAGGCGTGGGCCACCACCCCGGCCCGTTTGCTCCCTCTTGGGAACACCTGCTCGCCGCCAGCCCCGCCTCTCGGGCTCTTTGCCTTCTCACCACGAAGTCCTGGGAGTTCTAGAAGGGGCCGCGTCGCAGTTTGCGGTCGGGTGGGCTTTGTGAATGTCCCCTCCCAGCCTGGCTTTCCTCCATTTCTTACGGGGACTTTTCATCCGGTAAGCAGTTTTGGTGTGGACGAATCTAACCGGACTTCTAGTCTGTTTTTTAGGTCTTGTCTGAGGCGCTTTCTGCCTGGGTCTCCTTGGAGAAGATCGTGGGTCTTCCTTGCTCATCTTGAATCGATCTTTGTGGACGGCATGAGATGAAGTTCGAGTTCCATTTCTTCCAAACAGACGCCCGGTGCTTCCTGGGCCTCGCCACTGTGTCCTGCGGCTACATGAGAGTCACACCGGAGCCTGGCAGCTGGGAGACACTGACTTGTCCTCCGTCCACAGCGCTGCGTTTGACCGTACTCATGCCCCACTGTGGGGTACCAAGAGGTGGGCCGGGAGGAGTGGCCAGGCGTGGCCTCGGAGTGGGCTACCGGGCTGCTTCGAGGGCCTCATACTCCCTGGCCTCCTCGGGCTCAGCCAGCAGGGCCGGGGCCAGAGCAGCCCCTTGACCTGGGACCGAGCATAAGTGGACTGGGTCCTTTTGATCCAATGTATCCAGTCTGCGGAGCCGCGTGGCCGGCAAACACACAACCCTCCCCCACAAACTCTCCCAGTCTTGCCCAGCTGCCCCGGGCAAGGAGGCAAGCTGCCTGGGCCCCAGACCACACAGTGGGCGTCACGGCTCCACACGGCACGGCGGATGCTTTAGAGACATTCCAGAGTCACACCCACCTGCTCTGAAAGTCCTCCGTGGCTTTGCCAGGTGCAGCGGCCTGTAATCCCAGCATCTTGGGAGACTGAGGCAGGAGGATTCCAAGTTTGAGGTCAGCCTCTGCAACTTAGTGAAACCCTATTTCAAAATAAAAAAGGGGCCAGGGATGAAGCTCAGTATCAGATTGTGTGTGGGTTCACCCCCAGGACTGCAAAGAAAGCCGTCTGTGGCTCCGACCCACTCAGTCCTCCACCCCCCAGCCTCCACCCCCCAGCCTCCACTCCCCAGCCTCCTCGGCAGTAGCCCAGAGGCCAGGAAGCAAAACTAGCCAGCCATGTCCCCCTGGGCTCCCTAGTGTGGGCACAGATGTCAAGGTCCCAGATGAAGACAACTGCCACAGTGTGCCACATCCCGTAAGGAGGCTGGGCCCCTAGGAAGGGAGGAGAAGAAGGAGGATGCAGTGAACCTTCTCCCTGCCCTCGGCTGGTCCTGGACCACCCACTCACCACCTCTGCCTCATGTCGGGGGCGGGGGCACTGCAATGCCCCCACAGAGCGACCCCTCCCTCTGTCCCAAGCCTGGCTTGGCTCAGCACCTCCTGGGGGCCTCTGCTTTCCACTGCATGGACAGTCAGGGCAACCCAATGCCATCCAGCGGAACCGCCCGGCCCCGGCCCTGGTCACCAGAGGTGGGGACACAGGGGCCCTGCAGCGGCCCTTCATTCCCGATGCTGGGCCCAGGCATCTGGGGGTGTATGGGCAGAGCCAACCTCACCGACCCCTTCCAGCTCCGGTAGAGCCAGGGCAGAGGGTGGAGAGCAATGTCCCTGAGCCCTCAGCCAAGGCGTGGAACCCCCGTGACACGCCCTGGCCACCCAAGCACATAGGCTGCCTCCAGTGATGGCCACTGAGTCCCGAGGCACTGTGCCACCTTGGGAGTGTCAGCTGGGTCCCCAGCTGGGGAGGACTTGGCTGTCCAGGGCAGGTGCAGATGTCAGGGGTCAGCCTGGAGGCGCTGGTCTTGCTAGAGCAGCTACGTTGGTAGAAAGTTCTGCACTCTGTGTCACTCAGCAAAGCCACCAGCCTCCCTCTTCCTGGATCCTGGAAGGCATCCTTTGCCTGATCTGCCCCGTGGAGCCTGGTGGGGGCCGGTGCCCTGGCCGGAGCACAGTGTGGCCCAGCGTTGAGTGGAACTGAGAGTCACCGCAGGCGCTGTCTCAGACCCAAGGGCCCTGGCGGGCAATCTGGGACAGAGCCGGCCCCACCCCACCTATTTTGAGAAATGGGGACATCAAAAATAGAAAGGCCCTAATTCCACAGCCTGAAGCTCTTGTTTAGAGAGCGGCAATGAGCTAAGACAATGAGTCCCAATCGCGCATCGTGGTCACAATGGGTTTTTCTTTTTTTAAGTGCTTCAAACTCTTTGAGGGGACAAAAATTGGCTAAATTGTCTTTAAAGCTGGAACAGACATTGCCAGCCTTGGGGTACAGGGAAGGAGTGGACTTCCGGGGGACCGCCCTGCTGACGAGAGGACTTATGTTTGATCAATTGATTACATTCCCAACCAGGGGGAGCAGGACGGTTCCAGAACCACAGCTGCTCTACAGCTTGGGTGCTCCTGAGTTGCTCTTCTGACCTCGCTGGCTCCCGGAAGCTGGGATTTAGCCAAGGCTAAAGGTGGCAGAGCTGACCCTGGCCAGAGAGGGCCGTCCGCCGGATCTGCAGGTCGAGGGAAGGAGAAGCCGCCTTTTCCTGTTCTTTCCGCCCTGATGTTGAAGAGCAGCATCAGGGTGGAGCGTGGCTCTGGCCTTGCACACCGTGTGCCGAGGAGGACACCAGTCCTCCTCCCTGTCCTCCTCCCGTCCTCCTCCCTGTCCTCCTCCCTGTCCTCCTCGTCAGACACTGATCAGACGTGGGGTCGGTGAGGAGCTGAGACCGAGGTGGGGGCACTCTGGGCACAGCAGAGGAGGAGCGGGGAGGCAGGGGAGGAGCCTCCATGGCCAGGGGACCTAGGATGACCGTGGGCAGGGACGGGATGGCCACCAAAGCAGGCAGAGCTACGTGGCAAAGGCCGAGATGGAAGGGCGCGTGGCGAGGAGGCAGCCGTGGCTGTAGAACCGTGAGGCTCCTGAAGACACACGGGCCAGCGCCAAGCTCGGCCTCTGGACTTAAAGTTTCCCGGAGTGAAACGCAGCAGGGCAGGGGTGAGGTGGACGGAGAACTGCTGCTGCAGAGTCCCCGCCCTCTATGGGGACCCCCCACCAGAGACGCCCCCTGCCCGGTCCACAGCCGGGTTCTCATCCGAAAATGCCCAGAGCCAGACACGCAGGAGCCCGAGGAGAGCCAAGCCAAGGGAGAAGAGCCAGGCTCTCTGGGTGGCGCCACCCTGGTGGGGTGCGGGAGGCTGGGCAGGAGTGGCCTCCGGAAGGTTCAATGAGAAAACGAGTCAGCTTTTGTGAAAGAGAGCCGGCTGTCAATCCCCAGGGACAGTAGTATAAGGTGGCTGTCAATCCCCGGGGACAGTAGTTTTAGGAAAGGGAAACCCTTGGTCACACTTGCCCCTGAAGTTCCCCAATACAAACCCTGAACAGAGGGTGGTGCGCTGTGCTTGGGGTGCCCCTGCTCTGAGGGCTGGAGGAGATGCTGGTCTAATGAGAGGTGGAGACTGAGCACCGAGGATGTCACCTGAAACCCACGACCCGAGAGATCGCAATAGAAGCCATGTGTCCCTTCAGAAGACAGACGGGGTCAACACTCAGGGACTGGGAAGGACTGAAGAGCTGGAATGGGGGTGGGGGGGTGCCTGCGGTTCAGCCTGGCGGGTCCCTGGCGCTACGCGGCACGGGCAGACACACACCTGGGCCAGTCCTGCCTCGAAAGGAGACCAGGGCCAGCCTGTCCCCACAGGGGAGTGTGACGAGTGGACTGGGTGAGGCACGTGCAGGACCATCTCTGGAGGGCTCTCATGGCCTCAGCATCCGGGGAACATGCCACTGTAAAGTCCCCATTTTTCCTTTCAGCTTTCAAAGGAAACCAGCAGTTGCATGGGCCAGGGGCTGCTGGACGTCTGGGCTCCTGCCTTGGTCCGATGGTGGTGGCCCAGCTGCCCAGCCCCCAGCCACCCTTGCTACCTGGCTGCCTTGGGAGCTGGGCGGCGGCAGGTGGAGGGGGGCGGTGGGTAGTGGGGGCTGTACTGAGGGCCCCCTGAAGCTCCCCCCAGGAGGAGCAGGCCGCACAGGGCCTCCTTTGGCACCTGGCTCTGGCCTGAGCTCCCTCCTGCTCAGGAGAGAGAAGCCGTGAGACCCCTTGGCCTCCCGTGGCCTCTCCTCTGTGTTCTCAGGGCCAGCTCCTGCCCGGTCCTCCGGGGCTCCCCGCTCCTGAGAGCACAAGGCCGGGACATATCTGGGTGACTGGCCTTGTTCCCGCTCAGCGCCACAGTCTGGTAAAGAACAGTGATGTCCCTGGGCCAGCGGGATTGCTGGGAGCTGCGGGGGAGGGGGACCAGGGACCTGGAGCCTCCAGGAGGTGAACAAGGTGGGCCACAGCCTGGGCTGGTGGCTGCACTCTGGGCACGGTCCTCAGAACTGTGCCGAGACCCGGGTACCCGCAGCAGGTGTGCACCGGGGCCGCTGCGCTGGCCAGTACCTCTTGATCTTGCAGCGATGGGACAGCGTCATTTCCCTCTTGCTCCAGCTTCACTGGGAGGACCAGGCCACTGGGCTCAGAGCTCCTGGGGAGGAGGACGGGAGGAGGCGCTGGGTCTGATTCCCCTTAGGACCTTACCCCTGTGAGGTGGGCACCCGCTCCCCGGCACAGCAGCAGTTTAGGAGACGGGAAGGACTGGGCCTTCAGTGCCCAGCGCCTGCCACAGTGTCCTCCTCACTGCCTGTCACCTTTGGCTGGCCGCCTCTCACATTTTCTCTTGTCACACCCTCAGTGTGACAGTGGATTCTCAGAAGCAGACACACAGGCACAGTCACACCTGCCAAGCCCAGCACCTTGCAGGCTGTGGCCCAGCCGGGACTTTGGAGCCCAGGTCACAGGCAGTTCCCGCTGTGCTCCTGATAGCTGCAAGACCCTGGCGGCCAGCTCTGCACCAGTGCCAGCCCCGATGGCCTCCGGGAGATGGGCAGGACGGGGCGGGGGAGGGGAGACCCTGGATGGGAGCTGGGAAAATCACTGCAGCCTGTCAGCGGCCACCAACGTCCCAGGTTCAGAAAAAGCACCCCGAAGGGCCCCAGCAGTGATGTTGTCTGTGCCGTGTGAGGTCGGTCCTCTTTGGAAATGAGGGCCTTGACGCTGGTCTCCCTGGCGTGGTACAGGTGGCTTGTCACTGCTATTGGGTTTTTCAAGGGGAACAGCACCACCCTGGGGTGGCCCAGGGCTGTGATAAGGACCCACATTGGACCATAAGGACCCTCTTTGCTCAAGCCTCAGAGCATGTTGTGTTTACACTTGGGGTCTGTCCTGCTGTCTCACTATCCCACCTCCACAGGCTCTTTCATACCTGCCATGATGACCCTGACCCTAAGCCCAACCATCTTTCTGCTCAGATTTAAGCCCTGTTCAGAGGGTTTGTATCAGTCAGAATAATTGAGGTCATGCCAAAGAAACAAACATCCCCCAAATCTCAGTGGTTAAAAACAACACCAGGTTATTTTTCACCCAGATTGCCTGCCCACTGCAGGTCATCAGGGACAAGGACTGGGGGCTTTGCACACAGCAGTCCCTCTGGACCCAGGTCAGGGGCAGTTATTCTCTGTCTCCCTGGACAGTGGTACCTCAGCCCTTGAAGCATGTGACCCGCTTTTCTGCACAATCTGTTGATCAGAGAGTGGACCATATTTCCTGTCCAGGCAGGGAGTCAGAGCAAGCAAACCAACATGTGCATGGAGACAGGGAAGCGCAGCATTTGGTGAACAGCGCTTGGGGCTGCCCTGGGGTTTGCAGACGGTGAGGGTGTTGGCTGGGCTTTGCCTTCATCCACTGAAAGGCTGTGCCTCCCAGCGGCCACCACTGCCAGGCTGGTGGCACACGTGGTAGGAACAAGGAGGTCGATTGCAGGATTCTGGGCAGTGTCCAGGGGAAGTGGCTGCCAGGTTCCCTTCCTCCTGGTCCAGCCTCAGGAGGCAGCCAGCAGGAGCCCTGGGCCGAGTCTGCACAGGAGCTGGTAGGTCACAGGAGGGCTCAGGGTCACAGTGCCGTCGGGAGGGAGGCAGACTCACTTTATGACAAGGGCTCTCGTGACAGCTGGCCCCTCCTGAGATCCCACCCTGTCACTTCCCATCGGGCCCCTCCCCACTGTCGCACTGGGGCTCAGTTTCCAACTCATGAACATGGCGGGCACATTAGACAGTGCCCAGCCGTCCCCTGACCACTTACTCTGGCTCTGGGTATGCGAGGACCGCGGACCCCTCCTTGCTCTGAGTCAGAGCTCTGCAAACTTGAGGTGCGTGAGAATCACCAGGAAACCTTGCGAGACCCAGACTCGTCCTCCCTCCTGAGCTGCAGGTGGGGCAGCAAGAATGGACAGAGTGAGAGGTCAGCAGAAGATACTGAAGGACAGAGAGGGGGGCAGGGGCTTGTCCTGGACGGTGGCAGGAGTCACGGATAACAACGAGTGAACTGGGGCTCCCCAGGGGCCACATCAGTCTTCTCTTCTGTGGCTCCTCCACGTCCACCCCACCTGAACACTTGCTGTTCCCTGAGCAGAGCATTGCTCACCCCACTGACCCACTGATAGCTCCGTAGGCCAGGCCCTGGGTGTGGCTGAAGCTGCTGAGCCCCAGGGGTTCCTGGGGCATCGAGGGCTGAGAGTCCCCTCCCCTCCTCTCCGAGCACCGTGCCTCTGCCACTGGTGAGCCCGTCCCCAGCGCTGCGGCAGGACCTGCTCCCTGGTTCTCGGACGACTCTCAGCATCTTCTAGAGCCAATTCCTCCGCCAGCAGTCAGGGCCACCTGTCACTCCCTCCTTCACATTACAGCCTCCTTGTGAACTTCCCTGGTGTCCTGAGGAGCCCATGCAGCCGCGCTCAGTGGGGACGGTGGCCTGTAAGTTGGACATGCATTGGATGGTCCACCTGAGACACTTTTCCTTGGGAGCAGAGGTTCTGGCCTGAGAGGTCTCTGGAAATGGGCTGGAGACCAGGAGGAAAGGAAGGGTTGGAGGGGAATCTGGCTGGAGTCCCGCCCAGAGGAGGGTCCAGCACAGGAGGGAAGCCCCAGGAGCACAGGGTGGGCACAGGTGGGCAACAGGAAGGGGGTAGGAGGTGAGCCGGGAAGCCCAGGGCCAGAGGTGCCAGGGGAGGGGAGTCCTGTGGACAGGTGGGGAGGGGACGTGGGAGTGAGACCTCAGCTGGCAGAGGGTGGGTGGGGTGCTCTGCTGATCCTCCCTCGGGTGTTCATGGTCCCTGTCCAGGCACCTCCCTCTTCCCTGGGTGGCCTCTGGCCCCCCCTTGCGGCTGCCCTCCCTCCTCCACGTGGCCACCTTGCTGAAATGCAGCCCGGGTCTGCCCTCCTGGCCTTCAAGCCCTTGGAACTTGCCCAATGCTCTAAGGACAAAGACCCCCCCTTGCAGAGGTCCCTGTGTTCCTGGTGGCACAGTTTGGGGAATGGACCCTTTTGGCCCTTCTGGAGATGCATTAGAACTAATAGGAACCTCTGTGAGGTCCGGGTGGGGACTGGCCTGTCAAGACTTGTCCAGCAGATGTGCTTCCCTGGGGAGATGGCTGTCCCCGGAGCTCCTGCCTGGGCAGAGCGGAGCACATAATGGGCTGACCGTGAGGCCGTGAGCAACAGGAGGGCCGGGGTGGCCGAGGGGCTGGCGGGGCCAGAGGCTTGGAGAAACATGCTCTTTGGAAGGTGAAAATGAGCTGTAATGGCTGGGAGGGAGTTTGTGCTTCATCCCAGACAGCGGGTGGCGGGCTGCGTGCGGGTGCTTTCGATTCTGTCATTGAGGCGCTGCGGAGTCAGGAGCACGGCGCGTGGGCTTTTCACCACGGCGAAAATGGCTCCTCTCACAAGCTCTGGAGCAGATGCCAGACGTTTCAGAGCCACTGCAGAAAAGCCATTCTGCGGCCATGAGATCTCCCCGGGGTGAAGCAGACCCCAGTGCAAGGAAGCAGGCGGATCCCGAGGAGACCCTTGCGAGGCGGCCAGACCTGCAGAAGGAAGGACGGCGTGCCCATCACACAAGACGGCCACCCGCACAGCCAACGCTTTCTCAGTCGAGTTTGCCCACAGCTTGCAATGAGCCTATTACACCAAAAAACAACGACCCATGCTTCTCAGGTGTCGATGTGACCGGGCATCCTGCTTGTCACGACAGCCCCACCTGTACCAGAGCTCTCTGAAATCTTAAGTGGGCTGGACCTGTCACTTCTGAAAGTGACTTTTTGTTTCTGAACATTTTAACGTCTTGGCAGAAAAGAGGAGGTTGTTCAACAAGCTGCTGCTCCCTGGGGGAGCCCCCCACCCTGTCCACACTGCACCTGTGGCCTTTCCAGGGCCACACGGGTGGCCGAGAGGCTCTGCAAAGCACATTCCTCTGTCTTTGACAAAGGTCTGGGCTGTTTCAGAGAAGACTGTGGAAGGCCAGGGAAAGGCCAGGTTTTGGAGCCCCTGCAGCACACCAGCCGGACTCCCCAACTGTGAGCAAGGTAAAGACACAAGCAGGACAGGAATTCCTAGAAAAATGAAGGGCAGCACACAACGCGGCCAGGAGGGGGCGCTGCTCCCAGCTATGCAGCCAGGGCTGCAGGTGGGGGGCAGCAGAGGCTGGACCCTGAGTACCAAGTGTCCCAGCCAGGACCCCTGTGCTGCTGGTCCCAGAAGAGGGCCTCCAGGGCCACAGTAGCCCTCCAGGTCCCAGACTCACTTCTGCACAGTTCTAAGTCATAGTTCAGGGCAGATATATAACTGGACAAGTAATTTGATGTTGGTGCAGCTGATTGGCTGAGAAGTCCAGGGCCTGAACCCCTGATTGGCCAAGTCACCCAGGCCCAACTTCCAGAAGGCCAAGATGCCAGTGGACGGGTGCTTTCAGATTCTGTGGTGGAAGGGCGGGCTCTGGTCACCAGGTGCAGAGCATAAGGACACCAGCCAGGAACGCCTCTGACTGGCTGGTGAGCTGCGCGGCAGGAATCTGAGGCAAATCCTGCAGGCATGGGGTGCCCGTGCTCCTGTTCTTCCCATTTCCTGGCTGCCCCCTGCAAACCTAGCTCCTGGGTGGGCTTCAATCCCCAGGTGCCTCGCCCTCCAACACTCCCACAGCGTCACAAGACCAGAGCTCACATTGCAGGGGACATGCCAGGCGCTTCATCCCTGACGGAAGACCCTGCGTCGGATGCTGCTCTGAGTAGGGGCCTTTCTCATCTAGTATCTCTTCATCTCTGCAAAGTGGTGGCCTGCACAGATAAGCAGCGGCCGTATGCTCCGCCTGCCGGGACGATCCGTTTTACAGCTGTCACCCGCGTGTAATTATTGATGGCACTGCCCTTGTTCTCAAGACTGGGAGATGAGAACGCAGGGGAACACTCAAGCAGAGCTTCGCCCTGTCACGGCATGGTCCTACCACGGAGGCCTGGGTTGGCCCTGCTCAGAACCTTTCCTCCATCGGAACCTCCAGAGTTTCCTTTGTTGTTTTTGCTCAGAAACATAAAATGAGGTCATCAAGAAGGGTGTCCTGGCCTCCTGCTCCCACCGACGCACCTTCTTTGCAGTCTTCTCGTAACTCAGCCCCCTCCGGGGGATTTCTCCACAGTGTCTTGACATAGCAAGGCTTCCCGGTCAGCTGCTCTTGGCCAGAGCCCCAGAGTGCAGCCAGATCACCATGTGGCCAATGCTGTTGTGCACCAGAGCTGTCCTCCTGCAATGGTGGGTGTGGCCCTGAACAGGCTAGTGCAGAGCCATTGTGTTGGCCAGAAGATTCCAAAGCAGTCCTGCAAACTCCAGCCCGGTGTGTGTGGGGGGGCAGGAAGACCAGACTTTGCAGTGCGTCCTCTGTTAGAATCAACCTGCCCTCCCGAGGCCTTGGGTTTGCAGCGTAGCAGGTGAATGGGCAGCCACCCTGAGCACTGCCAGCCTCAGAGGGCAGCCACAA